GGATTGGATTGGAATTGGATTGGATTGGAATTGGATTGGATTGGATTGGATTGGGATTGGAATTGGATTGGGATGAATACTTACCGGATGTTTGTATCGCAGCATCGGATACGCCGATCGCTAACTTGACGATTATTGTTTAAATAATTTGGAATAAGTGAAATAGTCTCGGTTCTTCAATTATTGCATATAAATTAATTTGTATATGCTGAGATGGTATACTGTAACATGCATACTGCAAAATTATAATCGTTTGGGACAAAAAATCGCCACCCAACAATCCTCTTTCGGACCACAATTTTTCATTTTCCTCGAATTGTGGCTCGAAAATGAGATGTGATTTAAGTTTCCAAAAATGAATAAATAGGCAGCTTAGGACGAGAATCATCATTTGCAATTTCTGGTTTTGCAGGGATAAGTTTAGCGATCGTGCAATTGTATTCAACGATGGTGAGATCCTTTATGAAGATGCCAAAGTTTCTACAGAGGACGATAATGGAGCTGAACGGTATGGCGCAGATAAAAGAAAAGAAGAAGCGACGACGAATTCGACGAAAGGCGACTTATTCGTTGTACATTTATCGTATCCTCAAACAGCTTCATCCGGATGTTGGAATTTTATCGAAGGCAATGTCGATTATGAATTCATTGGTTAACGATATCTTCGAACGAATTGCAGCTGAGTCGAACCGTTTAGCGCGTTACAACAAGCGATCAACCCGTGATATTGAGGCAGCTGCTCGATTGATTCTATCGGGAGAATTGGCGACACATGCCGTGTCTGAGCTGTCATGAAGTATGTGTTGGAAGTAGATTCTTTAGCTTTATCCCATCTCCAACCCAACGGCCCTTTTCAGGGCAACAAATTCATGAATTATGATTGTACATTTATCCATTGAGGAATGAATTGATCTTCATGCTTTATGTAAAGTGAGTAAAAATTTTTATTATCTTTGCAATAAGTGTGATTGGTGATTTTGGATTTTTTTTGTGGATTTACATTCGTCCAACTTCCCCCAATAAGGTTGAAGTTTTCGACATTGTGATTAAGGTGCAAGATCATGACTAAGACTGATTTATCTTATTTTCTTCGGTCGAGAGTTAAGTTAAGCCTAAATGGTGACAAATTGTCCATCGATATTTTGGGTGATGTGGCTTATAGGAGAGATTTTTAGATTAGTTTTGAGATACAATTTCTGGCTCTCTGTAAGTGTGATGATAATGTGTCTTTTTTTCTTTTACATTTTTTCCAAAAAGGAATTGTCTGTTGTTGATCATTCGAATAATGACTCACATCTCTTTTAAAAGGAATTGTTTAAATTCTGATTAATTTATAATCGAACTGTGAAAATATTGTGTGTCTTGTAATAATCAGTAATGTTTTGTAACGATCCATTGCCATAGATAAGATAAAGTCATACTTCTACACAAATCAATAATTATATTCAATGTTGCCACGTACAAGATAGGAAAAGATGGAATGCAGAGATGAACTTGGATACGATAGCAAGCTTTCGTGATGACGCGCTTTCAATTATTCAAAGTGTCACGTACGACAAAAGCGGCATGCGTGAGAAAAGGTAAAAGGATAAGAGAGACAGCACGCGCTTAGCGGGATTGAAAATTCGGCGTCATCACTAAACCTTGATGAATACTGTGCTGTTTGCAAGAGTGGAATTTAAAAAAATTTTCTTTCTTTCCTTATGTTGTGAAAATCTTTTTATCTTTCAATGTAAAAAAAGAAATGATGATAAGTTAGAATAATAAAAGAAGCTGTTG